GATTGGACTGTTGACTGGATCTTTGATGATTAAACATTAAGAGAAAAAACAAAAAAAAAGCGAAATGCTACATCCAGCACGGACCAGCAGGACACGAACTGCTTACATCTGTTCATCACTTCACATGCGTTCGTGTACCATCCAGCCATCTCGCAGCCATCTGGCTGTCGTATGTTCTCTACCTTCGTCCCCCGAATAGAACGTACGGTCATTACGCCTGTATTTGGGCAACTCTCCGTCCACATACAGCAGTAATGAGCTTTCGTTTGATTCGGTAGAAGACGGTAGCTTTTTGCGCTTATTTCGCATGCAAATTATGCTTTGGCTACCCTAAGGCTTCTTTTGGTCATATGGGCGCCGAGCTAAAACATGCACCTTCAAAGAAACCAGCCACCGAGTTAAAAAATGTTATGAACGTACAGTGGCCGTCGTGTCATTTTGGGGTGTGATAACTACAGTGGTCGGCCGTGCTGTCAGACGGGCTAAGGGATCAAAAACAAATAATAAAAAAAAAAGAAAAAAAAAAAAGGGGTGCACCCACGTTCCTTTTCTACCGAAACTGCATTGTCGAAAAAGCGTTGAGGTTCATCAACGCCTGAATGAGGACGTGTTTGTGGAGATGTGCAGAAACGGCATAATTGAGCTTGGCGCAACCGTGCATGGGCTCAAACCTGTCTCTTATACACATCTAGATGTGTATAAGAGACAGGTGCACGTGTGTACAACGCTGCGAGGTTACGGTAGTGTAGAACTCATGGCCGTCTTCATGGGCAAGCCCGGTGCAAGCTCGGTGATGGCTGCTGCTGTCTCTTATACACATCTAGATTTTTTTCATGGCCGAGGACCGCGGACACGTCCGCCGGGTAGCGGCCTAGGCCGTGGCCGCGGACTTCTCCGCAGATGGCCGCTGCCGAGGTGGATTCGTAGCATATGAGATAGCCGCTGTCTCTTATACACATCTAGATGTGTATAAGAGACAGGTCCAAGGCCGCCGAGGACCGCGGACACGTCCGCGGGGTCGCGGCCTAGGCCGTGGCCGCGGACTTCTCCGCAGATGGCCGCTGCCGAGGTGGATTCGTAGCATATAGCCTGGCCTGAGCCTCTCTACCAAGCCTAAAAGAAGAAACGAAATAGTGTTGA